ATAAATAACATTTTCCACTTCGAAATTTTACTAAAACCCAGCTATAACCCTTACTTATAACTCCTTTCAAACCTTTAAACTCTAGCATACTTATTAAAACTAACTTACAACACTTTAACATCCAAAATTCCCATAGAACACTTAGAACCAAAAATCATACCAATTATTCAACATGCCTCAAATCCATTTCTAATACTTTAGGATTCTCATTATAACTCATGACAAGTCAAATTTCATTTCAAACTTCACTTACTAACTCTTTCTCAAAAATTCACTCAAAAATCGATTTTATTCAATCGCTCATAACTTGTAATTCTTTTAGTTTTTACTTCTCTATAAGCTTTCATAAGTTTTCCTAATACTCCAAGAATCAAAACCATTCATAAATTGCAAGAAATAACCAACTAGAAGAATTTTTACCTTAGCTATGGAGATCACATAGCCTACACAAAGATATTTTAATTAAGTCCCTAAACTTTTCAAATTTTTCAAAATTGGACATAAAGTTTTAAAATCTTACAATTTAGTCACTAACTCATTTTTTGGGATGTTACAAGGACTTAAGAACTATTTACAGCGAGGTTAATATGTAAGTCGAATTTCAACTCCACGATGGAGGATATTCGATAAACGAGTCACACACAACATTAAGTCGAATTTCAACTTCACAGTGAATGACATCAGACTCAGTAAACATCCAACCATAACCAACCACACTCACAGAAAAAGGCTTACTTTTGAAACCAATTTACACCGAACAAAAATTTATGTCTTTTTATCTTTACCCTATTTTTGTTACACGATAATGGGCAAAAAGGGGGAAGTTGTACTCATTTTCGTCTGAGACTTATTTTGAAGTTTTCATATTATATCTTGTATTTAGTAATGGTTATAATATATATTATATTATATTACATTACATTACATTACATTACATTACATTATATATAGATATTGTATTATTATTATTATATAGTATTTAATATTATTATTAATGGTTTTATTTTTTTAGGTCCAATTAAAGGTCTATGGTCCAAGTTAGGGAAACCCAGCAAGCGAGCCCACCTGACTTAGTGAGCAAGCTGCCAAGCCTGTTTCCAGCACAAGTGTAAGCCCAAGAAGAAGCCCAATCAGCCTGACCCAACAGATTAGGATTTCTCATGTTTAGCATCAGCACCGCACTCACCAAGGTCGTCCGATCGAGAAGGAGATCAAGGGCCCAGATCGAAGGCAGCTAGAGTTACAAAACCCTAACATTTATGTCACATGCCCAGCCACCTTAGAACTATTGGATCTGGCTTGATGATCCAATGGTTCAAATAATCAAAAGGCAACAAGATGATCCAAAGGTCATCGATCGATTAGTCGTGCGTGAAAAGAACGCGCCGACGAAATAAGCATTACCCCTTAAACTGAAACATTCTAAGCCAATTTTTTTGGTAACCGAATCAAAGTAGGTTTGAACAACGGGGAAACAATTTTTCACTATTTTTCAGTGGCATGCAAATTAAGCCTGAATAAAGAAACAAGAATCAAATCGATGAACAAAAGGAAACTTCATTTTAGCATGCAAGCAAATCGGGCCAAAACAATGACAAGAAGATAACCAAAGAAAAAAGGGAAATAATCACCTCATCAGCATCAAATCCTGTGGGTTTTGGGACGATGAACTCACTGAGTTTAAGGGAAAATAATTCCCCTTCGTGGCTATAAAAGCCCCAACGAGAATAAAGAGAGGCACCAAGCATCAACCACTCGAAGCTCGCATAAAATAATCACAAAATATTAAGAAAGGAAGAGAGATGACTTAGCTTCTTTTCGTCGTCGGAAAAAACTTCGGGGAAAGCAAAGGTCACCAGAAATTTAGAAGGTCACCGTAAAAAAATAGTAAAACGAGACTTTACATTGTAGATTTACACTAATGTGGTGGATTTTGGGTTAAGTAGAGGCTAGAAACAGGTTTAGGAGAGTGAAAGGTTTTTTGGGCTAGTTTTTAGGATTCCGGCCATCAATTGTGGTGGCCGAAATGGCGGTCGACGATGGGGCTAGGCTTTAGGCTAGGCCAGTTTTTTTGGGTGAGAAATGAGTTGAGAGAGTTCTTTTTTTGGTTTCTTGAAGATTGGTTGTTAAGATGAGAGAAAAAGGGTTTTTGGGCTATAATTAAGAGGGGCTTCTGTGTAATTAGAATATTCTTAAATTATTTATGCAGTCCCTATATTTCTGACACGTAATTCATTTTGCTCACTACTTGTAATTTAACCCTCAAATTTTAGTTTAATTCAATTTGATCCTTTTCTTATTCTTATTATTTTTTATATGTTATATTTTTATAAATTGGTACCTTGACCCATTTTTTGTTTTGTACTATTTTGTTTATTTATTATTTTTTTAACATTGATTTCATATTTTTAGGACCATTTTAAAAATCAAAATTCATCAAAGGTAAGTAATTCGAATCGATAATTTAAATTTTAATCTATATTTCAAATTTACAATTAAGACAACATGGTAATCGCGTTGGTACCAAAAGGGTAGTACAAGGGTGGTCATCCTTCCTTGACTGTAATCGACTCCCGAATCCGACTAATTTCTGGAAAGATGTAGATCTGGTAAATGGTAAGCTTTGGGTATCTGATCGACCTAATTTGAAATGATCGGTGGCAACTCCATTACATCAATTCAAGTCGAAGCGCGAATCCATGACCACCTGAACAACTGTTGCGACAAAAGTCAGAGTGACGGAAAATATTTTACGGTCGTTGATACAAAATTTCGATTACATGGTCGTGGAAATCAAAGAATCAAAAAAATTCTCATATATTGATCGATGAGCTTGTGGGTTCACTTCAAGCCCATGAGTAGAAAATGAAACAAAATAAAGATACTGAAAATTTATAGCAAGCTTTGCAAAGAAAAATGAATGTCAATAAAGGATTAACCAGTAGTAGCTACACATGAGGCCGAAAATATCGTGGTGGTTATCGTGGAAGATACAAAAGAGGATGAGGAACACGAGGACATGGTGGTCGATATATAACACCAGATAAACAAGTAAGATCAATCAAACATCAGGTTGTGGACTAGGATTCAAAGGCCAAGGCAGATATCAACAAGGAAATAAATCACAAGTACAAATAATTGTAAAAAGTATGGTCACTATAATTATGAGTGTAGATCAGCTCCTAAACAAGAAGAAAGAAATAATGTAATAGAAGCTGAAGAAGAGAAAAATGAAAAATCTCATGTATTCCTCACTTGCAAAGGAAGTGAAGAGTTCAAGAAGAATATTTGGTATCTTGATAATTGTGCTAGCAACTACATGTGTGGTCAAAAGGAGCTGCTCATGAAGTTAGATGAAACACTCCATGGACAAGTAACATTTGGCGACGACTCGCGTGTGAAATTCAAAGGCAAAGGTGAAGTCATGATTTCTCAGAAAAATGATGAAAAGAAATACATCTCAGATGTTTACTATGTACCATCTTTAAAAAGCAACATCATCATCATTAGTCAATTTTTGGAAAAAGGATATGAAGTGGAGATGAAGAAATGGCTCTCTTTCCATCAAAAATAAAGATGGAGAATTAATTTCCAAAGTCGATATGAATCAAAATTGTCTCTTTACAATTGATATCGAGTCGGGAGAAATCAAGTGCATGAAGACTACAATCAAAGATGATTTGTGACTGTGACACCTAAAATATGGGCATCTTGGATTTTCGGGACTGAAGCTCTTATCAAAAGCAAGTATGGTGAAAAGACAGCCATAGATCAACCCTTCAAATCAACTGTGAGGCATGCATCAACGGAAAACAACATAGACAATGCTTTGAAGTTGGTAGATCTTAGTGAGCCCGAAGGCCGTTAGAGATTGTGCACACCAACATAGTTGGTCTTTTTGACATCCCATCACTTGGAGGTAACAGGTACTGCCTAACTTTTATTAAAGATTTTAGTAGAAAGAGTTGGGTTGATATCTTAAAAGAAAAATCAGAAGCATTGGAGAAATTGTGGCAATTCAAAGTAATAACAGAAAAGTAAAGTGGAAAATATTTGAAGATACTCATATTAGATAGAGGAGACAGGTATACATCAAATTTATTTGAATACTTATTGTAGAAAACATGGAATTATTCATCAGCTGACAGTTAGATATACGTCTCAACAAACTGGAGCTGCAGAAAGAAATAATCACACAATCCTTGACATGGAAAGAAGCATGATAGAAGGTAAGCACATACCAAGAAATTTCAAGGCCGAAGCTGTTCGATGTGCAGTTTACACTTATTAAACCGATCTCTAACCAAAACTGTGAAGTATATGACGCCAAATAAAGCATTGAGCTGTTAGAAATCAGGAGTTGGACACCTTAAGATTTTTGGGTGCATTGCATACGCCCACGTTCCTGAACAAACTAGAAAAAAGCTTGACGACAGAGGAGAAAAATGTATTTTCATCAGTTATAATGAAAGAAGTAAAGCTTATAGACTATATAATCCTCTTACCAATAAGGTAACAATTTTAAGAGAAGTTGAGTTCGATGAAGCAGAATATTGGAGATGGATCAAAGAAAAAAAGAAGGTTGATCGACTATTTTTTAATGGAGATAACAATTTTATCAATCAAGATAAACAAGATGATGACCAAGGTCATCAATAAAATTCAACTACATCACCGTCATCAAGCAACGACAATAGTAGCATCATAACAAAAAATCCTAAAGTATCTCCCACAATAGTCGTAATTTACTACAAGCATTTAGATAAAGGACAACAAATAATGATGTGTTGACAAAAGATTAAAGCTCCATATTTCCCTTAATGATAAAGAATTAAGGAGGCGATAAACGTGATAAAAGCAAGGTGGCAGCAGCCGTCCAAAGAGGATATTTCTAGCATGCCGGCAAAGTTGAAGACTGTAAGAAGTAAGTAAGTAATGTGTATGGCAGCAGCCAGGATGAAATGATTGCAATCAGAATAAAAATTACGTAAAAGGTCAAATAAAATATGCAATCAGAATCACTTTTTAAAAAGACCTGTATCATAGGAAAGTTTCAAATTACCTACACAAATGGCAACCTTTAGTTGGAACGAGGATTTTCCCCTAGCACAAGTTTTTTCCAATGAAACTTTTCAATGCACGGGGCACGATAAAATTTCAGTTTGGACAAGAAACTAAACATCTTACATTTGATACACAATGAATGTCATCTTCATTGGCTATGCAGCGTTTCAACTATTACACAACACAAAATGCTTCCCGGTCCCATGAGTTCTGTCACCATGATTGTCCGCATCTTATGAGTGCTGTCACAGTGGTCTTTCCGAATCTTGGAAATTCTGTCGCATTGTCTGTGTAGAATTCTGTTGCCAGTGCGGTGGAAAAGCACTGCCATCCTCAGCTTCGATTTCAGAGCTGCTAGATGGTTTGGCACCAGTAGTTATGAGGTTTTTAAACCAAGCTGCTTGAAACCTGGGGCTTCCACTGTTTGAGTTGCCGGGATTATCATTACCGCCGTTAGAACTAGATGTAACACCCACAAGAAAACGATATGCCACTTTGCTGGCTGATACTATCTCTGTCTTGGCTTGTCTCAACTGCAATAATTTCAAGCATTGAACATAACAAAATATCAAACTTAAGCACTGATCATATTGCAATTTTCAGTTTGCTACTTTCATCCTTGTCTATTCACATTCTTACTAGCATGCTCTCTCTCTCTCTCTCTCTGTCCACACGCACGCGCGCGCGCACACACACACACATAATAAAAAGACTAATGCAGTTGACTTGCAATATCAGGATAAGAATGCAGCTCACAATCAGATGTTACTCCACCTTTCTTATTTTTGCAAAACAAAAGCCTTTGAAACAGACAAACGGTCCTTATAACAACTAAACACGTCACGAAAGACTCGCACTTAAAGAAGACCAAAGTGATGAGAGGAATATATTCTCCTCTTAAAGTACATAAAAACTATATTCCTGTAAATGTATGCATATGGAGTCATAGAGAGTTTCAGCTGATTATGCAATCATTAACTGAAAGGTCACTCACCCGTAAGGCAGTAGTTTCTGCTATTTCTATAGCAGCGTCTCCAGCGTTAGCAAAACGGTTGACCCAACCTGATATAATTTGTAAGAACAAGCAAGCTATGGTAAGTTATAAAACCAACCTGGAAACACACACGTACTTAGAGATCACATATTATCTCATCAAAATACAGCCAGATAAGGGCCAGCATAACAAGTGAATGTAATATAATTGCCCATAGCTTCACAACCATACACTTGAGAATAAAGTGGCCCAAGCCAGAACCTAAATAGTTGATATTCAGGTTTATGGAAAGGCATAGGATAGAACTGAAGAAGAAAAGCACTAAGGTCATGGTTAACACCCACAAATTAACCGTTCCTATTAAGCACAACATTCTCCACCAATTTATGTCAAGGAAAAGGCCAGACCTAACTTACATAAGGCAAGGCACCTAATTGTGTGTTAGTATCATACTATTAATAAAAGAAAAATAGGCAAGGAAATACCCCATTCCTCAAAAGTTCAACTAAAAGGCCATATCCAAGAACTTGACTATCTGAGAATGAGTGGAAAAAGTATAGGGATAAGCAAAGCAGTAACGGTTAGGACTACCTACAGGTGTACACCCATCTACAGAGTACAGCGAATCATAAGTTTACCTGGGAGCTTTTGGACACCAAGCCTTTCACAGAACTCATCACAGAAGTGATTACAATTTTTGGATAACAAGTCGTAGGAACTTCCAGGCCATTCTCTACTAAGCTCCTGCAATATCTGGTTAACCTTGAATTTTGAAAAGTTAGTTCTTCCAAGGACCATGGACTCACGATATGTGTACATCGGATTTTTTCCAGAAGGACAACTAAACACCCCAGACCCATGTTCACAGAAGCCAAAAGACCATTCTTCTTCTCCATATACCTGCCAACAGGGCATATTAAGTTATTAAACTACAGAAGAACAGGCATCAATAAACGATAAGTTATAAAGAAAGTGAGAAGCTGACAACAAAAATTTGTGCACCCATCTGTAAGAAAACCTGACCACATAATTACTGACTGAAAAAGTTCACTTTGGGAACTAATATTTCAAATGATATCTGTAAGATAAATATTTAGATACATCAAGGGTATCCGATCCATGAATTATTGGTTTGGTATAAAAAATAGACTATAGAAAACTACAATGAACAAGGATAAGCCATGAGATTAATGACAAAATGAATCTAAATTTGCCGGAAAGGGAAGTAACATTGTCAGTACCCAAAACAGCAAGAATAAGAAGGTAAACTGTCCTCTCTGTATATACCCAGGAATCTTCTATAAGTTCTTTCTAAAATAAAACTAGAACTAGATACAAATAATCCCAAAAAAAAAAACAAACATCTCGTTGCAAAATCATCTACGGTACAACATGCCGCAGAAGTTTTAACTTAAAACTTTGTAAAGCATAGTCATCTGTTCTGTAACACTTTGACCACTGCTGACGACTGCAAATCTCTTAGGTTTCATTAGATAAATTTGATAAATTAAAATGATAAAACAGACTACCAAGAAACAGAAAAAATATAAACCTTTAATCCCCAGAGTAATCATCTATTTCTTTCTTTTGTAGCTTTCTTTTTCAACTTAACAGCTACCTTTAAAGTAGAAACTATTTTTAACCGAAACAAAGATTTAAAAACGCCATCTTCTTTAAAAAATTATTGTTTACATTATACAGCAATACTCGAATGCAGCAACAAGAACGACACATCTAGTTCCAAATCAGCGTCAATTATTCATGTGACTCAATTGAACAAGTTGAATCCTAGAAATTAAACACCGGCCAAAAAGAATAAGAAAACTTCTGGTACCAAGAACCCTAGATCTCATTCAAGCACAATAGTAGAGACTGTAAAGGAAATGCAAAAGTGGAAGAAGAGGACCTGAACGGCGCTGTGGAAGATGCCGCCGATGCCTATTCCGTCCTTAAAGATCTTGTTGATTTGGAGAATGGTGGTGTTGGTTTTATCGGATCCACTGTTGGTCACATCGTATATATGTAATCTCACCTCTGCCATCTTCAACTTCAAAACCCTAAACACCTCTCTTTCTCTCTCGATCCTACTCTTCCAAAACCTGCTCTCTTTTTCTTTTCACTTCCAACTCCAACGATTCAATTCCCTTCCAAAAAAAATGTCGAACTCTTCAGTAATTCGAACTTTGCTTACGCAAACAGTAACGAGCAAATCCCTTTTTCCGCCTCCAATTTCTCAAATCCCGGAATCTCTTAGATTTCTTTTTTTAAATGTTTTTTTCGAAGTGTTTTAAGAATTTGGATTGAAAACGAGGGGGATTTGAAAAGACCCTCGGAAGTTGGTGAAAATTACGGAAAGGGGGCAGGTTGTTCGTTATGTGTAAGTATCTTTTTACAATTGTGAACTGTGGGGCACCGAGTTTATGAAATGATTCGGTTGGATAAGATGCCCCACCCACGGCCTCACGTTATGCAATTATTGACTCTTACGCAATCACCGACATCTTTTTCTCTTTCTTCATTAATTATTTTTGCGCCCCTCTCGTTTTTTGAGTTCACTATTTATTTTAAATATTCTATTAAAATTAAAAAAAAATAATAACATACGAAAATAGAGAATATTCACTATTGTCCAAAATAGAGTAAGACGAGAGTTAATGATCATTTAGTTGATATTGTGTGCAATTTAACTCACTCGAAGAGAGGGTTCGATCATCCAAGCTAAATTAAATATTCTTACATACACCAACTAATAGTAATGATATTTTTTTTTTGTAGATCCAACCTATCCTGAGGTTATAGTGGAGTGGATCGTTTTTCAATTTATTTTTTCAAGTTTGGCCTACGTTGAAGTTACAGAGGAACTGATTGACATTTTCATATTTGATCTTTGTAAAGATACAGTGAAGTAAATCAACCCACATACAACTTATCCTGAAGTTGTAGTAGAGTGAATCATTTTCCAAGTTTACTTGGTCTGACATACCCTGAATTTACAATTGAACAAATCAATTCTTTTAAATTTGACATTCCTGAAGATGTAGTGAAACAAATCAACTCAGGTCAAATCTACCCTAAAGTTATAGTGGAATGGATTGTTTTCCAAGTTTATCAGGTCTTACTTACCCTAAAATTACAGAAGAACAGGCAAACTTTTTTAAGTTTGACCTTTTTAAAGATGTAGTGGAACTAATCAACTCAAATTCAACCTATCCTGAAGTTACAACGAAGTGGATCGATTTTCAAACTTTCATATTAACATTTATTGAAGATATAACGAAGTTAATCAAAGTTCTGGGTCTAGCCAAACTTAAACTTGTAGTAGAGTGGATCGATTTTTAACATGAATTCAACCTACTCTAAAGTTGTAGTGTAATGAATTAAAGTTTTTTCTTAGATTTAGATCGATCATACAAAATGGTCGTATTCTTCGTCTTTACTATATTTTCATTGCATGCCAATGAGCAAAGAGGACCGATTGTAATACCCAATTTTTATCCAACCTGTTTATTTTGACCCATCTATTTTTAATTCATTAGCTTTTTCAATCTTTTTATTTTTTAGCCCATTTTTTATCTAGTATCTTTACTTTATTTTCATTACTCATTCAAAAAAATAAAAAAAATTATTAAATAAATATTTTATTTATTTTTATTTTAATTTTTATTTATTTATATATTACATTAGCCTGTTACAAAATAACAAAACCCTTTAAACCTTTGCACCCATTTGGAAACTAAGACAGACCCACCTAAGCCTAAATAGCAAAAAGAAACAAATGCAATCACAGCCCATCAACCCAAAAATAAGGGTTTCAATAGGAAACCCTAGCATGCAAAAGATCTTTCTAACGTCGCACATTCTAGAAGAATCTAGAGTCAACAAGAACCAACTAACGTGGGTGTAGACTATGTGCTGACGATTGACTTCCCTCACGTGCCCACGCCTCGATAGCTCCTTTCGTCTGAACATTTTGTCAACCACCTCAACAATTGTCTACAAGAAGAATACTTGGAGAAGAGCTTTATCCCTAAAAGATACACAAAAGATAATAACAAACATTTCATGGGATTAGAAACCCTTTTTCAAGTAAATGTGTAGGTCATTTCTATAAATAGAAACAAGAATCAAACGAGAGGATTTTAGATACTAGATGGAGGAAAATCAAAGTGAGATTAGAAAACAATCACAATCATTGCATATATGAAAACAAAAAATAATAAAGGAAAAAAAAGTTATTTCCTTTTTCATAGTATTTGTTTGCTTGCATGTTTCTTCAACAATCGATTAAGGGACCAATGAAAGAATAACCAAAAGAGGAGATAGTGACTCATGAGAAAGCGAGACAACCTTTAAAGAGAGCGAGAGAGCGAGAGAGAGAAATTAAAACACAAAGAAAAGAAAAACAAGGGGTCTTCTCTTTCTGTAATTGATGATCAAGGCCTCCGTTGACGAATCTAAACGATGAAAAGAGAGGGAAAACCACTAGGGATGACATACTTAGAATCTACAACGATTTGATATTGGACGACGACAGATCATAAAAGTGGAAGATGAAGGGTTATTCGGTCTATTCATTGATTGCAAGCCATTTTTGGAGAACTCGCTCCCATAATCAGAACCAGGAGATCGAGGTGACAATTTTAGGAAGAGAAAATAACCTCAGTGACCAAAAATTCCTTATAATATACGATTTTAACCAAATTTTTTTGGATTTGCCAAAATGACCAACTAAATCGCAATGCGATCGATAATTCGCAACGCGATCTCCGGTATCGCAAATCAGTTTCCAGATTCGCAACGCGATTCTGACTATCGCATTGCGATTTTCCAAATTCGCGTTGCGATTTTTCGACTATCGCAATGCGAATATGTAAATCGCAATGCGAGTATGGCTATCGCAACGCGAATATGTAAATCGCAATGCGATTATTACTATCGCAATGCAATTCTGACTATCGCAACACGATTCTGACTATCGCAACGTGATTCTGACTGTCGCAATGCGATTTTCAAAGCGCCATTATTATCGCAACGCGTATTTTTTTTCAAATTCCAAACACGAATATTAATATATCGGAACACTAAACCGTCCACAGTATATCCCGTAATCACAACTCATAACTTAAAACCCTAAATCACAACTCAGTCCCATCTCCATCTCTCACTCTCTAAGGCGACATCCGTCCCCATCTCCGAAGAAATCAATCCCCATCTCCGAAGAAATCAATCTCTATCTCCGACGAAATCCATCTATCTCCATCTCTCAGAGCCACCCTCACAATCATTCACGGTCAAAAATGGAAAATCAACCAAATCAACCACCGAGGGTTAGTTTTTTTTTAATTATTTTTATTTGAAATTTTTGCATTATTTTAGGTTTTTCATATTGAAATTGATGATAAGTTTACTGGTAATTTCAATAATAAATTAACCATTTCATTTAGATTGCTTATTAAATTCATTCGATTGCTGCCAATACTGTTAAACTGTTTAGTCTTTAAACCCTGTGAATTTAGTATTTGTCTTTGTTTTGTCTTTTGGTTGAAGTAATGCAATCCATTCAAGTTTCAATTTTAGTATTTGAAACCGAGAATCGCAACGTGAAATGAAAATGGCAATGCGATTTTAGTTTCGCGTTGCGATTGTCATTTCGCGTTGCGATAGTCAAATTCGTGTTGCGATAGTCATTTTCGTGTTGCGATTTTTATTTTCGTGTTGTGATTTTAAGTTTCAGAAACTATTCTTCTTCTGCAAATTGAAACTTGAATGAATTGCATTACTTCAACAAAAAACAAAGACAAATACTAAATTCACAGTGTTGCAAATTTAAGTTTGAAGAATAAACTACTACTCTTTATGTTTATTGTTTCTTGGTATATCTTCACAGTGTAGTTTTGGTATATCTAACTTGGTATGTTTATTGTTTTGTAGAACTTTTATTCGGCTCAATTGACCTTAAGAAATAAATTAAGCCTGACCAAAACAATTGCATCGAAGCTTTCACCTGCACAAGAAAAATTTTGAGGATACTTGCTTCGGGCCATGGCTGAAAGTAAAACATCCGGGTGGAGATGCTATGTTGACCCATCTGTTTCTTCAAACCATGACTAGCGATCTACCAGACTATACACGTCGTGATGAAGAGATATGGTTTGATTTCCACCGGCGTATACGTGTTTTGGGCGGGAGTTTTGCTTAATCACCAGTCTACGCTTCGGACACGATGAGTAGGTCGGTACACTAGACATATTACCCGCCTATCATGGTTATCCCGGGTTTTTCCTGAGCTGTCAATGGAGAACCGAATTTACACGTGGAAGACTTGACAAGATTATTGAATAAGAAAGATGGTTTTACTCGGATGGATGACGTCGATGTTGTCCGAGTATGCCTTCTAATACTTTTGCATACCGACTTTTTAGGCAGAGAGGCCAGACAACCTATCCTAATGATCTAATTAAATTGGTAGAGGACCTAAATCATGGAACCTGTTTCCGTGGGGTTCGTATCTATGGAAAGCTACATGGAATAAGTTGTCGTCTGCCTTTGATGATCGAAAAAGTTTGCGTGGCGATGGTTCCAAATACACTTTGTCAGGCTTATTTGGGTCTTAAGGTAAGATTTTTATATAATGTTTCCAAAATTATAATTAATTATTATTAACAATTACTAATGTTTGTTATTATGTTGTAGATTGGATATTGAGGCCTTTCCCGCCATGCAGACCTATGCATTAAAACTGTTAATGATATTCCTAGGGCTATTTCCTGAAGAGGAAACGAACCTTGTAGCAATGGGAAGATTTACTACCGTATGACAATAAATAATGTAAGTTAACACAATACTACCATATGTTTATAACAAGTTATTACTAGTACGTTTAACTTTGTTTGAGCTTTTATATTGTTAGGAGTCCAACACTCCATTACAGAGGCTGACACCCACGGAAGCTGAGCTTGCCACTGATTGGTGGCAAGCTAGTAAGCATTTTTTTATGGCACGGATGATGAGCAACCTCCACTTCGAGAGCCATCACCCTCACCCAGAGCCATCACCTGATCGACCCGACTATACACCTCCACAACGAGAGCCATCACCTATTCTGTCACATCATCGAGCCTCTTCTCCACCATCACCTCATGATAGACGACCGGTAAAGATGCCACGATGTTTATCTCCCTGTTCTCCACCTCCACCTTCACGGGATGAGTTAGGGGAGTTACGTGATGAGGTCAATGCCTTGCG